AGTGTTGTACGTATGTGTAAATGTGTATTAATTCGTATGTGGTCACATACATGTACATACACACACTCACGAATACACACAGCATATTTGGCGAATACGCGCGCATTTATATTCACAATCTATAACATCATTTTGAATAGTTATCACATATTGCTGTTTGCTCGGCTACAGGTAGTGGTGGTGGCCGAAACACTTTCCAGATACGGAGCTTACGGGAAAAGCGCTGAGATGATGGACTTTGTTGCGTCAACCAGTTCTATAAATAACATGGGTTCTATAAATAGGGCATCTGTTGCTAGCACACCTGACACAAACGTCACTGCACGAGCCAACCCATCCACGGCTGGTAACCATGGCAACGACGGAGAAGAAGTTGCCAAAGGTACAAAGGTTCTCGAGCGCACAGCTACTGGCTCGGACGAGGAGATAGAGGATGATTCTGTAGATATTACGGCAGCAAGCACAGGTAGGATAAATACCCATATATTTGTGCACACATATATATGTATGCTTGTGTATATGCATATATATATATATATATATATATACTGATTTGCAAAGCACATCCATATCGACAATGAAATGTGGCATTATTTCTTGCACGCAGGTACTAAGGAGAGGTCGGATCCCACCGGCACAGCAGAAGCAAAGGAACCAACGGACACTACAGCCACGCAAAGCGATACACTCACATGCACAGACACACGCCTACCAACGCCCCCACACTCACCCCAACACACACACACACAACAGCCGCAACACCCATCCACAGAACAGCCTCGCGTGCACACGCAGCACTCCACTGAGCCACCTCTGCACACGACTCAACCCACACACACCCCAGCACTCACCCTCACCCGCCCCACAGCACCCGAGGACACTTCTGCACCCATTCCGCAGAACCAGGTGCAGGCATCTGGACATGCAAAGCCGGCTGAAGGGCAGAAGGGACCTCCACTGAACAGAGCGAACAGCACCCCGCACCGGTCCAAAGATGAGATCCAGGTGCATACGCCTGTGCCTGGGTCGCCTAATACCTACAAATTCAGGTCCGCGGGGGGGTCGCCAGACCCTCTGCACCAATCAAAAGGCAAAGAATTGGGGCTGGACCAACAGAATGAGTTTGATGAGAAAGCGTTGATGCGATTGGCTGCTGAGCGGTCGCTGGAGGCGCAGAAGGCGTTGGTGGCTGTGGTGGAGGCCTTGATGGACTGCATACAGGTACTAACACTATCACTAAAACTAATACTAAAACTAATACTAACTAATACTAATACTAACACTAACACTAACACTAACTAGTACTAACTCTAACACTAGCACTAACACTAAGTGTATAGGTATGAGCAGCAATAGCACTGAGTGTGTTGAATACAGACGCTGAGTGTCTATTGATTTTAGAAACACTATCACTGAGTGTATACATGTAATAGCAACGTGGTCACTTGCGCGTGTATTGTGCTTCGCACGCATGTGTGCGTTTCTTTTCCTTTTCATCTCAACTGTCTTGTCCCTTCTTTCTCCTGTTCACTTTGCCCTGGTCCTTTTTTTTGGCGCAGGTGCGTCCATGGCGGGCAGTGGTGTGTGCAACGAGGGCTGTACTGAGTGTCATGTCTGTGGCTGGATCGGCAGTGGATTTAAAGCCCTTTCAAATGCAAACCAGCAAGAAGGTACGCAC